TGCTTCTCACCGGCACTTCACTTCGCAGTTCTGTCCTAACACGTCAGCCGCACCAGAACGCGCTCTAATACACTTCCCTGGCAGACAAACGCTGATCTCACTGCCGCACAAAGCACCACGCACTTCCTGATGAGAGACCGAGCAACCCTTCACTCCCATGCCACGCGCCCGTCCCCAAGTGACACTACGCACGACTTAAGACTAGCGCCTTCCGTCCAGAGCACACCGTTTTCTGTCTCTCGAGCACGCATGCGTTGTACTGCCCTTCTCTACCAAACAGACGCTGCCATTCATACTGCACAAAGTCATCACGCACTGCCTGATAAGAAACGAGAACAAACCCGGCGTTCGAGTGACACAGTCAGTTTTGATGGCGAGACGACAAGTCATTGCGCCACAGGGTCTCCAGGCCCCGACCCCAACCTGTCATTTCGGCCCTACATGCTTGCGTTTCAATACCCGTCTCTACCAGAAAGACTCAACCCCGACGCACGACCTAATGAAGAACGCCAACAGTTGCTCCGGACGGACGCCACGCTTGTGCTTCACGTCGACACAGGAGACAACTGCGCAGATGCCGCGTTAGGCCCCGACCGCGACGAACCGCGACCGTTTTTGTCAGTCGTTGCCGCGTGCGTCGCAGCATCCGCCCATATCAACATCAGGATAGTGCCGCTCTTATTCCTGTGCAAAAGCACTACGCACTCCCTGAAGAAAGGCATCAGCAAACTCTGCGCTTGCGCAGACACGCGTCGTTTTCACGAAGACGCACGAAGTGACGTTGGGACCGGTGCGTCAGGCGCGATCGCGTCCTATCGCGTCGAGTACGCTTCCCTACCAAGCAGTCGCCGTCACTCGACTGCACAAAACCACTGCCCACGAAGTGGTAAAACGCACGAGTGGGCTCTGCACTTGCTCGGCACGCGCCTCTTCCACGGAGCAACAAGAGCTCACGAAGTCACCGGCACTTCACTTCCCAGTTCCGTCCTAACACGTCAGCCGTACCAGAACGCGCTCTAATACACTTCCCTGGCAGACAAACGGTGGTTTAGCACCTAAAAATGGTATAGATGAGTTTAGCATACCTCCTGAGTATGGGCGAAATACGGTCATGTATCAATGAGCAGCTTTGGCAATTAAAGTGAGGGGATTCGTGGCAAATGCTATAAACACATGGTTGGTGTGTCAGCACTTTCGATCCACCGACAGGTCGACGGTTAAAGCCTGCAGTGGCAACGACCAAGTCAGACAA